CTGAACATGATCCTCTGACAACCTGCGTCCTTTGCATTTATTACAATCATAATTTTAATATTTTTACCCACCTGAATTGTACTGCACAAGTCCCAGATGGCTAATAAAGCCCTTTCCATAAGAACCAAGAAGCCTGTCTGCAACTTTGCTGTAAAAAACCTCATAATTTCATATAACTCAGAATGAGGACTTGGCAGTGTCTTACTGAGATAGAATGTGCAGGTAACCTTTATTAGACATTTTGGAAATTCCTGACATCATTTAAAGAATACCAAGCACTCACATTCAATTGTAAACATGTAATGGTTTATTCATAAGTTTTAAGTATAAAAAGACATAGGCATTGTTGTGTTCAATGATTGTTATTGCAACTTTAGAACACTAGGTTAGGATACACACAGGTGTTAGTCATTCCCCCTCTCACAAACAGCCACGTGTTAAATACAAGTCCAAGTGGCATAAGGACTTTGTCATGTCATAGTTGCCCAAAAGGAAGCTGAGATAATTGCAGTAACTTGATTATAATAGCTAAGACTGTTTACATGGTTCGAAGTATTTCGGGTTATTCACTAGACAATAGTCAAGTTTAAGCATAGGTAATTCACTGTTTACAATGATGTTACAGTTATATGTTAATGCACCTTGTGTAAAGATACTTTATTCATGATATCTGATGCAATGGTACCACAAGAGTTTGTATTGGCAAAACTACATTTCATTTCATTAGATTTACTTATTACATTTTGTTTTCATCTTAGAATCCACCTCTTATAGAGAGTGTATTCTTTTACAGAGAGAGGATCGAGATGTTGTGTTCAATGATTGTTATTGCAAGTTTAGAGCACTAGGTGGCAGTGTCGGAAAAGTGGAGACTTGGGGGAAAAAAAGAGATAGTGATTACCGCGGGATACGGAAAATCCATGCTGAGCTACCGTGATAATTTGCTGTACTGTTTTGTTAAGTAAACAGCATATTCTCTGGCCTGGTTATTCGGGTGCCAACATTACAGGCATTATGACATAGACATTTAGACAATATGCTCACTCTCCTCCACTACTGCTTTGCTCTAATACTGCATGTTCTTCACTATTGCAGTAATCTCCTTCACTCTCTCCATCGCCTACAGTCTTTTCCACCTCAGAAGCCTTGCAAAGCAGCTTCATCTCCAGCACACCCAACTCTTTTAGTTCATTTTCCTTCTTTTCTATCTTTTCCAAAATTGCCTCGATTTTTTCCTTCAGTCGCTGCAGCTTTGCCTCCTTATCTTCTTTTGCCTCCTCTGGTGGTATATTTACGTCTTTCTCTTTTGGTACTTCTCTCATTCCTTCATTGATCAATTCATCTACCGCAGTGTGGGGCTGCTCTCTTGGCCTCTCATCACTTTTTGATATATCAAGCTTTTTTTCTTTCCCTTTTTTCACAAGGGTAAATTTCTTTCGCCTGAATTTCTTTAGTTTCTTTTTTCCTTTGCCCTCCTGCTTTTTGAAGCGTCCCCAGTCTCCTCTTACCTCTGGGGGCTTAAAGCAGTTGAGGAAAGACCAGTTCATGTTGAGATGCATCATTGTTGTGTAGGCCGATATGGATATTATGTAATTATGCTGAAATTAGGAAAGTTTCCAATCTAATAAATTTAAGCAAATATTGACCCTTATTTAAATGTACATTGAGAAATGTTCCATTATATGCACTTTGCTAATGATGAACTAACGTATGAGTACTATACTTACAGATATCTACAGAAGTTGGTATAAACAGGATTCTGTCTAATAGGCAGCCCGGACTGTCTATCCACTGGGTCCATAAAGAACAAAGGTGACAGAATGTGCAACGGTCAGTGCACTTCCACAGACATTACTGAAAAACTTTGGTCTTCTGCTATTGAATTTATAACACCAGAGTGCAGAGCCTTCCATCGTCCAAGGGAATTCACAGTAGTGTTTCTCACTGCAGGTTACATTCCTCTGCAAGCGAATGCTAAGTTAGCACTGGCTATAACAGCCCGGTAAAGTTGGCTATATATTGGAACATTCGCTGGATATTCAGCTTTACCTCCCCTATATCTTAGAAACAAAACTGCTTAAAATAACTAAACTGACATTTTCTGCTACTGGAGAATTCAACGATTGTACTACAACATGAGACATTGGCTGATATATTATTTTTTTGTTGTCATTACCAGTGTTGCCAACTTTGGTCAGCTGGCTGGAGTGAGATTTTCAATTCGAGACAATATGATGTAGCTAATTTAAATTTGTAATGGAATAAAATGGGCATTAAGTCCATCGTAATTTAAGTCCTTAATAATAAAGGCAACAACACTTGTGCAACCTACACAGTAAACTCATTTCTCCCTGACAACCTGAACTGTTCATTTGCACGGTTTGACAGGGACAGCAACCAGCCCATCACCAAGCCAACATCACAGGAGGCTCCATCACATGCACTGGTGCTGAATTCGCATGAGGTGCAAGGATGAAGGCAGTTCAGAGCTCCAGATTCCTAGGAGTTCCTTTCAGTCAAGACCTATATATTATGGACCATCAACATGACCAAAAAAGTGTTCAGAGGCTACACTTCCTGAGGTGCCTCAAGAAAGCACAACTACCAGAAGATGACTGGCTCACAGGTTCCATCATTGGAAGAAATCTAAAGAATCTATGTAGTGGAAAATTACCACCAAGCATGATGTCCGATGGTTACTAAGGAAGTTAGGCTGCAAAATAAGGTTGCTATGCTTGAAGAAACAGATGCAAGAGACTGGGGAGGGGGTTTTAGACTTTACCCATGTTAAGCTAGACAAGATTTTTATTCTATATATGGTAAATATAAGATGCTTGTGCTAGACGAAAAGCTTGTCCTGAGCATAGAATGTGCAAAAGCAGACATGGGTCTTCCGGTTGTGGTTGCAGAGAAGGGTCATTTGTCTGTCAATATAAAATGAAAGCAGCTGCGTCTGCTATTTGGAGAACTTCTCAGAACTGTCTGTGGAGAGTCTCCCCGAGCTCGCATAGAAAGATATCTCAATAAATGAAACCAAGCTAAACCATTGGACTCATCTGTTCCTTCCTACCTCCAAATTTCCATAACATCTACCACTGGCACGAATCCATGCACATCTGCAGAGATCCACACCATCTCGGTCGCAGCATCTTCACTCTTCTGCCGTCTGTCAATTGCTACAGAGCTTCTCCTCTCATAGCCCAAACTATATATGCCCTGTATGCATGTGACTTTGTTACGGTTAATTCCCTTATAAATTCCCTTAATCTCAAAATCAACTAATTAAGCTTTTGTGACCAGTTTCATGCATAACACAAAAGGACAAAAACGAAAAAGTTGTTTTTCCTTGGCGATTTATATAGTTTATAATGGGGTTTTTGTTGAATTGTCTTTGGTCCAGAGTGTCCTTATCCAGCATATCATTCAAAAATGTAACCAGCAGAGGAACAATTTATCACAACTCAAACTCAATGAGAAGTAAACTTTCCGTAAATGCAATAAACCATCCAAATTAGTAAGGTGACAGGTAGAAGGACAACATGGTTTTCTGTACAAACGTAGAAGTGCTTTGCTTGATGACCACTAGATGGAGCCAGTACAATATAAAAACTAAACTCACGTTCTTTTGCCCTGTAGTGTTTTTGAGTATGAACTGATACTTGGTAGACTTCGTAGACCACAACACTGCGAATAAAAATCAATGGAAGCGTACTGAAACGCATTTAATTCACAAAAGAAAAATAGACACCTCCTCTCGTAATTATGACGTACTATCTAGTAATTATGAGAAAAGATATAATTACTGTATGAGATCATGTCTTTGTATTGATTAGCGCTGTCATTTGACACCAGCTACGTTAATTCATTTCCATTCAACTGAGGGTGTTATGCTGCACAATCAGCAGCTGCACCACATCCCTTTTGTAGTGTGAGGTATTTCATAGACGATCTAACGACTTGGGTAACGTCACACAAACATACAAAACTTACGGATGCGTGTATGACGATTTTTCGTAATAAAGTTTCAGGGCCATGCAAATTAGTAAGTGCAAATCAGAACTTACCAGGAGAATGAATAATAATAATAATAATAATTAATAAAACGGGAGAGTCTCGATAGATGGCCTTGACATAAGGGAGAAACCCGGAAAAAAATTGGGAGATAGTACGTCACGATTTTGAGATAAGGTGCCTGTGTTTTTCTTTTGTGAATGCATTGCGCTTCCGTACAGATCAATTATCTTTGAATTTTTTTAATTTGAGGGGGGTGGCACGGTGGTCAGCTCTATTGACTCACAACTCTATGACCAGTGTTTGAATTCAGCTGTGCAGAGTTTGCAAGTGTAGAAAATGGATGGATGGAAGGGATGGCTTATACTGCTGAGTGCTGACCTTTGTTGCATTTTGTTTACTGCCTTACATAATTATTCAGAGAAGGATTCTTGTTCTTCTGCAAGCTTCCGACCTAAAATACAACTGTTCCTATATGTATTCATGTTGTTATTTGAATTTTATTCTATTTATATGTGTATTGATTGTGTTAACTGCTGTCTGCAAACCAAATTGTCTCTTGGGGACAATAAAGACAATTCAATCCAGTCGTTCAAGAACATTCACGGCAGACTGGGAGTTGAGAGAGTTAAGTCAGGCAAAATTTGCTGGTCTCTGTGCTGACAGGAGGCCACCACATGATACCACAGATGATCTTATTTTTAAGTAAAAACAAAGAGCATCTTAACATATCACACAAGGCACATTATACAGAATGTCTGGCTATGTGTAAATCCGCATGAAAACACTGGCTGCCATCAGCAGCGGACAGACCAGCAGAAGATGCATTTCATATAAACTACAAAGAGGATTCATTTTATTCGTATTTAAAATATTTAAATTTTTTCTTTAACGGTACCATGCCATTTGAGCTTTAGGGGAACATATGTGGTTGTATTTTTTTTTCTTTTGTTAGAAAATGTATTGATGATTCAATGGACAAACACAGATTATAGAACAGTGGAATTATTCATTGTTTATCTTTCTCCCTGACATTCCTATTCAAGCCAATAACATTAATTGTAAAGAATTTAATCAGGAAGAAATACAGAATATTTCAAATCTGATGGCATCAGTCATGCAAGACAATACAGTCTCATTTTTATACATTACTACTGAAAACCACATCTAAGAAGCAATGAACATTTGGTGAACCACTGTATATCTTACTGGCTTAGAACCAAAGCCTCCAGAGTAGTATTGAATAAAACTCTCCCATTCACCTCAGTGGTACAATCGGGGCGGCGCAGGTAATCTAGCACACTGGCTTTCAGCTCCGGTGGTGCAGTGTGGCTAAAGTCCACCAACTCAGTAACCACATCCAGTAGCAGCTCCCCCTTTTTGTTGCCAGGGATGAAGCAATCTGTGATGTCTAATTTTGTAGGCAACGTGAATGTTTCAAAGTTGATTCCTTCAGCAGTAAGATAGCGCTTGATGTTTGCCGCCGTAAGAGACTGATCCAAATCACTGCGAGTAAACTCATTCCCATAAATGCTCCACAGCTTGCTCCAGCCACACTCTCCTGAAACAAAGAGCAATGAACCGTACATCATGTTGAATTCGGGCACCAGGGAATGTGTGTCAGTAACGATTCTGTCCTCTGCTTCCTACCACTATCCTTCCCTTTCAATCCACTGATTGATTTCACATTTATTTCGATATGCAGGTCTAGCATACAATTTAAAACTCTTATGTCATAGTTTCTTACTTTCTCGAATAATCCTATATTCACTGTATCACATTAAGAAAAAGGTTAAAAAAAAATAAAATACCAGAAATAAGTATGACGAGAAGTTTTCCATTTTCATTCAAGAGACTCCGAAAAAACGAGATGGTACCAACAGGATCAACTACATAGTACAGCATCTGAGGGTCATAATGAAAATGCAAATGGACGAGTTAACATTCAAAATCCACATCAAGGGAAAGCAGCTTTTCAGGCCTATGAGACAACAAGAATATTACTATTTTCTATAGGTGGATGTGTCAGCCAGCAGGAACCTGAGTGTGTAGAATGCAGGCAGGAAGATTCTACTCTAAAAACAAATTCCACCAATCCTCACTGTATATGTGGGCATTACAGCACGCATCATATTCAAACACATAAACAAAAGCATTTAATTTTGGATCTTAAACGTAAAAGATATCAACAGCCCTGAATTGGATCATTGAATTATTGCAGCTAATTCAATGTGAAATTACTCTTCATCGATTTAGATGGATGAACATCATACAATATCAGGGAAAACCCTGGGACTTGCAGTCACAACCTTTTGGTTACAAGCTCTTCTCTTTGAAAACACTGCCTGCCTGTTGAATGAAGCTTTACTCAGCTCTCACCTATTAACACAACAAAGTGACCTGCAGACATGTTCACCTGAATCATATGAATGAAGTCTACTTTCTTCTCTGGCTGTCTGTCTCTCCAGTGCTTCTCGAACTCAGAGGCAGTCATCTGATTCCACGTGAAGTTTGCGTTTTCTAACTTAGGAGTTCTCGACACAACATCTGTACAAGACAAAGCAATGTTTTACATCTGTTTTATAAAAGTAACATATTATATGATGATTAATTCAGTTAATCATGACTATACTACATATTACTATAGTACTACCACATTATGATTAATTCAATTAACGAGTACCATACTACACAACAATATGTATTTTGCTAAACCCAATGAAATGCATGATATGAATGTGAGTATTTGAAGTCCTAGTACCCTTGCATTTCTCCAGCATCGGCTCACTGGGTTCCACCATGTCACAGCCCACCTTCACATCTGGTAAAACCTTAATCAGCTGTGAAAGTATCTCCAGGTCCACCTCTCCTGCAAGATCAAAATCCAGATTTAAGCCCAGAAATGTCCTGTGGATGCAGTCCATGTACGCCTTTTCATGCAATCATTATTATTAGTATTATTTTATTTAAAATAGGTTTATGGCTCCTCCTACAGCAATTATTTTTACTGGGTCCTTCATGTCAGGGCACATTCCATGCATGAAGAACGAGCTTTCAATCAAACAGTTACAGAGCATGTGAGCGGAGCCGTGAGTGAGGAGCGGAGCTGGCTGAATTGAGTCAGAGCGCGGAGCGGTTTCCTAATTAAGACTGGAGCGGTCGCTCCAATTTCGCTCCGATACCGCTCACACTACAATTCTGAGGCGTGCCCAAATCTACCCAGAATTAATCTGTACAATTATCAAGACTGTTACACAAATTGGCCGAGATGGTATTTCACAAAGTAAAGTGATAGATCATACAAGTGTAATATTCTTATCAAACGTATAGATGACAATAATGTAGAGCAAGAACAACAATGTGGTGAAACTGTTTCAGTGAGTAGATTCACTTTGGAATCGCTTTTCTCAGAAACATCAAACATGAGAGTATGCTACGCGAACAGGCGGAAGCCAGAGCAAAACGTGAGCAAGTTTTATATGGTTGTAGTATATCAAGTCTATAAAGTAAATTAAAGTATAAAAGCCTATAAAGTAAATATTATTAATCAAATAAATTCGTTTTGTAATTCAAAGTAGGTCTAATAGGATTTTTTAAATTTCGCGTAACGCTGTCAGTGAAATTTTATTTTATAGAGAGACGCAGCAGCAGCATAAACAGAAAAAAATAAGGAATTTAAAACGTGGATGCTTAGCCTGTATATTCTTTAGGCTATTAAGCCCACTGATTCCTTTATTTTTAAGCCTATTTTGTGTGGAATGCCATTGCCAAACGTGCCCGTTGTTGCCTATATGTTGCTTAAAAATAAATATTTTCTGAGTGGCACTGTTGCCGTTGCTCATATTTCTTT